TATATATATATATATATATATATATATTTGGCTAGTAAATATAATTATTTTTAATCGATCGATCAAGTGTGTAACTTGCCTAAATTTAATATATACATATATATATACATACATATTTTAACTCGAAGTAATATGTATATCTCTGCCAGCTACCAAAGGTTACATCTGCCGCTACTCATAATCAGAGTATTCTTGAAGATGCCTGCACATTTATACATTAAAATGAGTATCTCCCTCTTCGTTGTTATTTTATATTCGAATAAGAAACAAAAGGAGACAGATAGTATACGTAGTTTGTTCTTTGTCTCTATTGATATGATGCTATTAAAAGTGATAAGTTAGAAAGGGCTACAGAAGGCGTCAAACGAAACAGACATCTCAGTTTCAAACCTGATTTACATACCATACGATGCAAAGGGCAAATGCGGCTACGTATATCGATCAAACGACTACATGAAGGCATGTTTGGTTCACATACTCACTCCGTTTCAATTTAGATGAGGTAATTTGACTCACCACGAAGTTTAAGAAAAAAAAAGAATACTTTTAAAACTTGTGATCTTAAAAGCTTAAGGGGTAAAAGTTTTATGGGACCATGACATTTGCGTGGTTATAAACGTTTCTCATTAAGGATAAAATAGATAAAATAAATAGTTTAAAGTTAAATTATTTCTAAATTTAAAAATATATCATTTATTTTGGAACAAACTAATTTTTTTTATCTCGCATAGTATGATGCACAAACGCCTATAACTTAATGCGGACTATTTAATACCGTGGACTACACTATATTAATTACATGTATATTATTTTTTATTATACGATCAACCAAAAATTGCACTCATTAATTACGTAAAGACTATTTTTTTTACACAATTAATCATATGCGTTATTATTTTATGCGATAATTTATGTTGTGATTGATTATACCAATACGATCAATGAAACGATCCGAGGTGTATATGGGGCAAAGTTTAAGACCATATGGATAGAAATTTGAAGACAAAGTACAATAAGTACCAATTCTTTTTTCTTGAACCAAATGGGAGACAGAGTGGCAGTACACCCATGATTAAGCTTTGAAGCATAGGAATCTCCGACCACACCAATTAAGCGCCAAATAATTTGGATAAGGGCAAAACAGTCACTTCACAAAAATCGTTATTGCTTGGCGGGGGCAGTTTTGGAAGTCCAAGTCACAACACTATCTATTCCATCCACCGACCACCGACCTAACTCTCCCACCACTGTTTTTAAATTCCCTAAATTACCCAAACACATAAATTCCTACTGGAGTATTACATAAACAACAAAATTATTAATTCCAACCATATAATATAATAATATTAACAATCTCATTGAATTATGGGAGAAGGGCCAAATAGACCCTCTACTTTCAGATATTATCTATATTTAACTTCCGTTATAATATCGGATCAAATTTATCCTTACCGTTATACTATTGGGTCAAATTTATCCCTACAATAAGTAAACTTTTAAAAATTACCCTTCAGTCCGTCAGGTGACCCAGAATCTCCCAAATCATTTTAATTAAGTTACTGATTCTGCTTCCTTTTTTACTATTTTCAAAATAATTGGCATTTACCTGCTATCTGAATTGGAGGAAAAAAAAATTAAATAATACAATTGTTAATAAATAAAGTATAGTTATTTGAAAAATCTAAATTAGGTAGCTTTTCTAAATTCTAAAAATATTTACAATATCCCAATTTTAATGAATTCGTTGCACCAAATGTATGGGGACTTTGCAAGTATTAGTGATTGAAGTTGAAGTTTCTCGGAGACTTTACATTGCCGAATTCAACTTTGCTTTAATCAAATGCCTACACATTGTGCACTCTTAAGTTAGTCGATCGAACTCTATACTAACCATACAATAATAAAATATATTTGAATATAATACATGTGCATACATGATGATCAGCTGCATATAATTCACAATAAATAGACTCACTGGATTCTACAGTGTGTATATGGTTGGAAAAAAAAACTTTAAACCAAATCCAAAACTATTATTACAAGAAGAAAAGTGGGTGCATTGGTAATTAAAAATATTCATGAATAATTTGTATAGTCTAGTAACATATCAATAGTAATTTCTGAAAATAGTGGAGCAAGAAGAATAACAAGTGATTTAAATAAAAGAAACTCGGAGATTTTGAATTACTTAACACATCAAAGGATAATTTTTAAATGTTTGCTGATGATATGGATAAATTTGGCCAGATAATATAATAGTATGAATAAATTTAGCCGGATAATATAATTGAGGTTAAATGTAGATAATATTTTAAAGTGGAGGGGGGCATATTTCGCCCTTTTCCCTTGAATTATTGTAATCATCGTTCCTTCTTCCTATTTTATATGCTTAGAAAATAAAATCCATTTCTCTGTCGTCACCACTGAGCCAAATGACAACTGTTTTTCCATTATTGAGTTCTCCCTAAATTTCCCTCAGCTCACATACTACGCCACCCCCACCCCCAACCAACACCCCCATCACAAAAACAGAAGCAAAAACAAACAAAGTTACAATTTTGATTTAAAAAAGTGGTATTTACAGCTAAATTTATAGCTACAGATGGAGGGTCTGAGAATTTTGAGGAGCTATTAACATGGCTGATGGCCAACAACCACCATTTTTTATGAGGTATGAGCAGCTAAGCTTTTGAATAAAGAAAGGGGCCAATAAAAAACTTGTTTTATACTCATCCAGCAAGTTACTACTTGTATTTATTATTATTGTGGAGAGAGAAGAAGAAGAAGATTGATTGTGTCGGTGCTTTTAAGATATTTGCCTTTTCATTTTTATTTATTTTAGGAGAATGAAAAAAGAATTCCTTTTTAGAAAATCAACGTAGAGTATCCACAACCGCATCCCATAACCTTTCTTCACTTCCAGCTTTTGCCTTTTTCATGGGTATTCTTTCTCTCTCTGTTATTCCTCCTAGTCAAGCTCTAGATTACAGGGAAACAAAAAATTTGTAATTAAGCCCCTGTATTTTCCCATAATTATAGAATCAGAGAGAAAGAAAAGGAAGATATAGAGGGTAAGAGGAAGATGGAGGTGGGTGGTGGGGGTCAAAGTGGAGGAGTTGCAAGTTCAGGGGGGTGTTGTGGCGCTAAGAGAAAAAACGAAAGGCCTTACAAAGGAATAAGGATGAGGAAGTGGGGAAAGTGGGTTGCAGAAATTAGAGAACCCAATAAGCGTTCGAGAATTTGGTTGGGCTCGTATTCAACGCCGGTGGCGGCGGCACGGGCTTATGATACGGCGGTGTATTATTTACGCGGGCCTTCGGCCCGGTTGAATTTTCCTGAGTTGTTGGGTGGTGATGGTGGGCTTAATGATTTATCTGCTGCTTCAATTCGTAAAAAGGCCATAGAAGTTGGTGCCCAAGTTGACGCGGTACAGAATTCACTTGCAACTCATCACGACCACGACCACGACCACGAAGAAAAAGTGCAGCGTGAGACTGCAAGCCCGTCTGAATTGAAGCCATGTTGGTTTCAGGAGAAGCCCGATTTAAACAAGAAGCCCGAGCCCGAAGACCCAGAACTGGATTACTGGTAATATTTAGTTACAATATTATTACTGATAATAATAGTAGTAACTATGCTAGTGTAATTTTTTTTTTTTTGTTTTGGGGAAGAGGGGGTGCATTGGTAAGAATACAAGCGCCGCTCCAGATTGTCTTTATTCCTAGCTGGTAGCCTAGGATTGTTATATTCTCAAAAGTATCACCTCTTTATTTTATTTTTTACTTCTTTTTAAGAAATTCTTGAGCTCAAACAGTTTTGATGTTGTAATATGTAAAGGTGATTTGTGTTAATATTTTGTCTTTCGCAATTCAAATTGTTCTTTGGTTGGGGCCTTGGTGGTGGTGGTGTTTGGATAGCAAATGGTATTATATGCGTATTGGTGATGTTAAAGACTTAGCCAATTGTTTATTGTAGAGAAATGATGAATGATGATTGAGGAGTGAGGAGAGCGTGTGTGGCGGCGACAGAAAAGGAGAATGGGGTGTTAAATTGTTACTACTTGTAGTCAAGTCTTTTATTGTTTTAAATTATTTGTGTAGTGGTTGATATCATGAACAGTGGATGAGGGAAAGATATCTGATAGATTATTGTCACATCTGATCGCACTACTACTAGTGAAACTGAATTGTAAAAAAGACTCCTGGACCGAGTGGATCCAATCCAAGTGGGGAACGGCCGCGGCCACTTGGAGAGGGTGAGGACGAGGGAAACATCACTGGCCCTACAATGGCTCGAGTTTGGTGCAAGTGGATAATATGTGAAATTTTGTGTTTTGCTAACTGTGAACAAAATGAACTACTCTTAACAGTGGTATCCGAGTCAATTCAATAGCTTCTTGGGCCAATATTGGGCCAAAGGTGATTTTTTTTTTTAAGCCGAAGTACTTTTTTTCAAAGTTAAGGTGTTTAGTCGAAGGCTTTTTAAAATATATATATATATATATATATATATATATATATATATATATATTTTTGAGTAGAAATAGCTTTTGAGAAACAGAAACAAGTAACTTGTTTTCAAAAATACTTTTTAGAAAAATATACTTAGAAATACCTTTTAAAAGCTTGGTCAAAGACTAATTGTTGCTCAAAGTGTTGTTTAAATTAATTAATCAAACACATAGTGCTTGAAAAGTACTTTTAAGAAAATTATTTTTAAAAATAAGTTGATTTTAAAAGTTTGGCCGAACATGCGATAACCCTACCTTAATTATATTGTTAAATATTTTCTTACTTATAATGATGGCGTTTGGGTCAATTTAAATGCCCTTCAATTATTTCGTTAGATGTTATTTTTGACTAATATAAGTAGTGGATAAATGTGTTTATCAATACTTAAATACAGTAGCTTTTTTGAGAAATTTTCCGAAACCACTATCGTTTAGTGGCTATTAACTTCCTATAGCTATCATATACTTATTTACTTCCTATAGCTATATTTTTAGTTGTTATGGTAATGTATTCAATCTATTGTATTCATGAATACAATAGGAAAACTCGGCTAAAAACAGGAAAACACAGTTGTACGTTTATGTATTCAGGTGTATTCGCGCTATGTATTTACGTATACAGTAACAGAAATCAACGTAAAAATAGGTCCCTCCAACTGTTTAAAAACGAAAAGTGGATCAATTAACGTGATACACTCCTAATATAACTCAACAAATACCATTAAAATACGCAACATTAGCAATCCAATTTATGAGAGGATTCTGCAAACATCAAACACAAAAAAACAGAGCCACCTTCAGAGTTTCACTCGTTTTTCCCCCTGGTATCGTTCGATAATTTTTTTTCCACCGATACTGTTCAAGATTCTTCTTGGAAGTGATACACGTAACCATAGAAATAGATGGAAAGTTTAACCGTACTAATTCATCATTCTGGCAAGAACATTGAAAATTGCTATATCGATTATTTGATTGATGAGATACTGATAAAAGAGTATGCGTCGTACAATGATTTGGTTGCTTCAATTTCGAAGCAACTTGACATAGATTTGAGTTCAAAGTCAATTAAAATTGAATACAAAGTGGAAGGAAATTGCACGCCTAATATTCTGTTGTATTCAAATGGTTGTATTAACTGCATATTATATGTGGATAATACATGTTGCTACAGCTGTATTTTATTGGTTTAATTCAATGTTTTTATTTTGTATAGATAAACTTCACTGTATTTCACATATAAATGTATTAATTTATTTACCTACTTCCTGCCTTTTTTATAGTAACACTAGTGCATGTATTCTGTTGTATCAAACAGTTATTTTTAATGCATATTATATGTTGATAATACATCTTGCTATAACTGTATTTCATTGGTTATATTTTTGTATTGACAATATTTTAGTGTATTTCACTGTATTGCACAAATATATGTATCACTTTAATATTCTGTCAGATAAATAGCGTTTGTATTCGGTGTATTTTAAATATTTTTTTTCTTGTATACATGTATAGTGTATTTAATACATTTAGTCATTGATAGATACACGACTTGTACCAATGTCCACAACTTATATTTCTCTGTTTAATGTAGGTTGTACCATCGACTGAACACATGCACATGGTGAATGATGAAGGAAGACATTACATCGTTTGCCTCCTAGAGAAAACTTGTAGTTGTGGGCGGTTCCAAGTTGACGAATTATCATGCCCACATGCTCGGGCTGTCTTGAAAAGCAAGTTTCTAATGCCGGAAGATTATTGCTCGGGCTATTACAAATCAAACTCTGTTGTAATGACATACGAAGTGCCGGTGTATCCACTGCCTGACCGAAGTGAATGAAATATACCATCACATATATCAGAGGAAGTTGTCTTACCACCCAAATGGAAAAGACCTCCTGAAATGCCAAAGAAGAAGCGCGATAAGCCGTTAAGTGAATTGCTTCAGAAGAAAAATCAACATTCGTGTAGTATATGTGGGGAGAGAGGATATAATAAGCGTAGTTGTAGAAATGCTCCACGTAGGAATTAGTTCATATTCTAATTTTAATTACTACAATAACTATATGTCATAGATTTGTTCAATGTTTTATATTACATATTGATTTATTGGTGTATTGGTTACTTAGTGGATGAATTTTTTAAGTTTAGATTACTAAATTGAACGCTATTATGTTTCGTGGTACCTTTACAAAATGATTCATATACAGGTATGTGGTATAGTAGTTCATGTATTCATAAAATACATGAATGTACATTCAAAAAATAATTGAATACATATGTAATTCAATTCCAAAAAAATGATACAACTATGTGGAAGATTATACTAATACATAAATACAGTAGAATACAAACGTTTGGAAATAAAAAATAGAATATAATCACTGAACATAACTAAGTCTGAAAATATAATAAATACAATAAAATAAAATGAATACAACATAATGAATAAAATATTGTCTGTCATTTAAATACACTGAAATATAGTAAAACAAAAATATGCAGTTTATACAATACTCTATGTCATTTAAATACATTGAAATCTAGTAAAACAAAAATACATACAGGTTAGATTAATATAGCTTGAAATAAAACTATGTGGAAGATTATACTAATACATAAATACAGTAGAATACAAACGTTAGGAAATAAAAACAGAATATGATCACTGAACATAGCTAAGTCTGAAAATATAATAAATGCAATAAAATACAATGAATACAAGATAATGAATACAACACTGTCTATCATTTAAATATACTGAAATACAATAAAACAAGAATACATACAAGTTAGATTAACATTAAATATGGTATTTTGACTTTTTAATATAGCTTGAATGATATTTTTTTGTATCTGTATGCAACTGAATTATGCTGATTATAACATGACATGTATATAGGAGGACCTTTATACAACCATTGAATACAACATTATCTCTCATTGAAATTTAATAATGTAATGACCCGACTTGTTGTTTTAAGAATTAACGCTACGTTCAATGACTTAAGGTCTAGAGCAGTTTCGTAATATGTATTATGACCCGCGGGCGTGGTCGAATTTAATTTTCAGAAGAATCGGAAATAAATTGAAAGAACAATTCTCATTTTTGAAGCTTAAATGGAAAGGGTTGACAGGAGAGTTGACTTTTGAGCAAATGACCCCGGAATAGAATTTTGATGATGTCAATAATTTTGTATGGTGATTTCGGACTTAAGCGTACGTCCGGATTTAGATTTGGAAGTCCGTAGGACAATTCGACGCATTTTGGCGAAAGTTGAAAAATAAAAGATTTTTGAAAAGTTCGACTGAAGGTTGAATTTTTGATAACGAGGTCGAATTTTGATTCCGAAAATTGGAACAACTCCATTACATCATTTACGACTTGTGTGCAAAATTTGAAGTCATTCCGGATTGATTTGTTATGTTTCGACGCAAAATATAGAAGTTGGAAGGTTTGAAAACTCATAATTCGATTCGATGCGTGATTCATAATTTCGGCGTTGTTTGACGTGGTTTGAAGCCTCGACTAAGTTCGTATTGTATTTTGGGACATGTTGGTATATTTGGTTAAAGTACCGAGGGCCTCGGGTGGATTTCGGAAGGTTAACAGAGCAATTTGGACTTGAAGGAAACTGCTGGAAAATGGCAGCAGCTAGTGGAATCGCTTTTGCGATGCCAGGGTCGCAGAAGCGACCTCGCAGAAGCGAGGCATCCACCACAAAAGCGAAGATGGAAGGACATGGTAGTGGTTGCAGGTGTGAAGAAATTCCCGCACCTGCTAAAGCGCAGAAGCGGAAAGGGACGACGCATGAGCGAGCTCTTTCGCAGATACGCAGGTTGCATCGCACCTGCGAATGCGCAGAAGCGGAGAGGAATACACAGGTGCGTTGGGGTTGTTGGAAGTGGTCTGTCGCAGAAGCGAGAAGGGTCTCACAAAAGCGGCTTCGCAGAAGCGAAAATATTGTCCGCAGGTGCGGAGCCTGAACATAATCATAAGGACGAAAAATAGTCATTTAGCCATTTTCGTTTTGGATTTTTGGAGTTCGAATTTGGGCGATTCTGGAGGGATGTTTTACAAGCTTGGTTGGGATAAGTGTCCTATATCCTAAAGTGTTTATATTTCATGAATCTACGATTATATTCATCGTTTAATTCGAATTTTTATGGAAGAAATTAAGATTTTGGCAAAATCTTCCAAAAATGAAAATTTAAGATTTGGAGGTCGAGTTGTTATCGGAATTGGATAAAATTGGTATAGTTGAACTCGTATCGGAATGGGTGTTTTGATTTCGTAAAAATTATGTTGGGTTCCGAGAGGGGGGCTCTGCATTGACTTTAATTGACTTTTTAGAATA